GGTGCGGGGTGCGGGGTGCGGGGTGCGGGGCGGTGCTGCCCGGGGCGGGGGGACCGCGCAGCCCCCCCGGCGAGGTGCGATGGGAGGGAGGGAGCGAGCGGCCAGGCACGCACATCGCCTTCCTTCTGCTCCGCTGCACTCGGCCGGGGCCGCGCTCGCCGCGAGGACCGGCCACCGGTAAGGGGCTGCGGGCGAGCCCGGGGGGCGGGCGGTACCGGGGACCCCCGTGCCGGGGCTCGGCAGCTCCTGAGATTGGGGTGAGGCCGCTCCGAGCGCCGGGCGGGCCGCGGGGGGCTCGGTCCCGGGGGGCTCTGCGGGTGCGCCCCGGCGTGTCCCGGTTCCTCGGGGCGGCGGTGGCGAGGTTCGCGGTGGATCATTAACGGGGCACCGGGGGGGTCACGGCTGGGCGGGTGCTGCGGGCCGGGGGCCACCACCGCGGCCTYAGGTTCGTGTCCCTGTCCCCATCCAACCCGTGGAAGCGCCGGGAGTGGGGCGGGGGGACCCCGAAACAGAGGGAGGGGCTGAGCCGGGCCGAGAACCGGCGCCCGTCAACCGCGGGGGGGAGGAGCCCGCGTGTCCCGGCCCCGGGGTGTCCCCGGGGTGTCCCCGGGGTGTCCCCGGGGTGTCCCCAGCCGCGGGAGGGGGGTCCCCGCCGGTGACACCCCCCCGGCCGCGGCTCCCTAAGCTCCCCCCGCAGGGACGGCGATGAGACGGAGCCGGACAGCGCTGCCCTTCCTCGGCGCGGAGGTGAGACCGGCACCGGGGGTCACCGGGGGGGGAGAGGGGTGTCCCGGGGGGCGAGGGGTGTCCCCGGTACGAGCGTCCCAGCGCCGGGCCCCCGGGCAGCAATAACCGGGCTGGCGGCGCTGAGAGGGAGTTAATTATCCCCWTAATGGGCGGTTAATTATTATTCACCTCTGCGTAATTGCGCGCCGGCTCCGGGGTTTTTTTTCCGGCGGGGTCCCGGGGGAAGCGAAGGGGTTCGGTCCGGTGGCGGCGGGAGGAGGAGGAGGAAGAGGAGGAGGAACGGGGCAGTCCCGGTGGCTCCGTGCGCTGCGGGCGGAGCCGCTCCCGGTGCACCGGCCGAGCCTTTCCCCGGGCCCCGCTCGCCCCGGTAACTCCCCGGTAGCCCCKGCTGCAGCGCCGCACCGTGTCCAGCAGGGGGCGCCAGCGCGCTACCGGCGCTCGGTACCGGCGGGGGCGGGCGGGGGGCGCTGCCCGGGCGGGACCCTCGGGCCGGGGTCGGGCCGGGACCCACCGGGGGCCGCTCCCCGCGCCCCTCACCGCAGCTCCGTTTCCCGGCAGCGCTGCCGCGATCCCGGCGAGGCCGCCCCGTCGGGCCCGGGCCCGGGAGCGGCGGTGGGCGCCGTGCGCCGGCGTTTCTCCGGGACCCCGCTGTTGCCGCCGCTGGGCTGCCGGTTGGCGGAGGCGGCCCGCGGCCCCGAGCCCGAGGCTGCCCGGGTGGTGTTCACCATCGAGGAGAGCGGCCCGAGCAGCGGCGATGAGTCCGAGCCCCCCCGGTAAGGGCGGCACGGGGAGCGGGGAGGTGATGCCGGTCCCGGTGGCACCGGGAACGCGTTACCGGGCAGGGCACGACGGGCGGGGACATTCCGGGTTCAGCACCGGCGGCCGGACAGCGGCACCCGGTGGGTTGGGGACAAACCCCTCTGTCACCGGTCCCGGAGTGTCCGTTCTGTCCGTCTGTCCCTGTCACCCCACAACGCTCCTGTCCCCCACTGTCCCCACCGCACTGTCCCCGTCACCCATCCCTGTCCCCTCCTTGTCCCCACCCCGTGGTCCCTCCAGAGCGGCCGCAGGGCTGGACCGGCCGTGCCCGAGGTGACCCCGCTCCCTCCCGCGGTGCCTCGGCCCCGGCTCCGTTCCTGCCGGGCTATTTTTGGGCCGTTCCCCCTGTCCCGTGCCTCTCCCAGCCCGGCTTGTGGGGACAGCGAGGAGCTGGCACGGCCGAGGGACACGGCTCTGGTGTCACTTGTCATCCAGCCCTGCACAGACACGTGGGGACAGTGACACTGCGATAAGGACTGGCTGTCCTGGGGACAGGGACTGGCTGCCCGCCAGGACATGGGGGCACTTCCCTCTCTCCCACATCCCCTGGTGTCCCTCTGTCCCCGATGTCCCCACCATCCTGCTGGCAGTGCCTCGAAAGCAAAGGTGACCCCCCAGGACCCCCATCCGGTGGGTTTTGGGGTCCCTGCCGGTGCTGTGGTGGCAGCGGGACCCTGTTGCTGTCCCTGTTGGATATTCCTGTGGCCACCATCGCGCTGGGCATGTGCCAGCTCCCACGGCCAGGCCGGTGGGTCCTCCACGGTGTCACTGTCACCAGCTGGACCTCATCCTGCTGCTCCCTGCTGCTCTCGGGAGGGGACAGCACCGGGGAGGGGCTGGGGCACGATGTGGGGTGGGTTTGGGGCTCACAGATCCTTCAGTGCCACCGTGGCATGGCCACACTGCGTGTGCCCGGGATGCTCCAAGCTCAGCTGTGTCACTCGGTGCCACCATGGCACGGCCACACTGCATGTCTGGGATGCTCCAAGCACAGCCGTGTCCCTTGGTGCCACCATGGCATGGCCACACCGCGTGCCCGGGATGCTCTCAGCTCAGCCATGTCCCTTGGTGCCACCATGGCACAGCCACACCGCCTGTCTGGGATGCTCCAAGCACAGCCGTGTCCCTCGGTGCCACCCTGGCATGGCCACACTGCAAGTTCAGGATGCTCCAAGCTCAGCCATGTCCCTTGGTGCCACCATGGCACGGCCACACCGCGTGTGCCCGGGATGCTCCAAGCTCAGCCGTGTCCCTTGGTGCCACCATGGCACGGCCACACCGCCTGTCCGGGATGCTCCAAGCACAGCCGTGTCCCTCGATGCCACCCTGGCACATCCACTCCGTAGGTCTGAGTCCCTGGGGTCCCCGCGGGTCGTTTTTCCGCGTGTGCCGGCAGAGCCCCCCTGCCCTTTCAGCAGCAGCTGCCGCCTCGGGGACAGCAGGGTGGCCGGTGGCACCGGGCCAGCGAGGGGCCACGTGCCCGGGCCGCCAGGCACACCGGGGGGGGACCCGCTCCCTGCGCCGCTGCCGGAGCCAGACAGTTGTTTAATTTCCCAGGCGCAGGGCGGGAGGGGGATGGAAAGTTTCCCGGGGCCGGGACGGGCTCCTCTCGCTTCCTGCTCCGCGCCGGGGGCGGCGGGGCCTCGCCGCCCGCCCGGGGGTCCCTGAGCCCGGGCCATGCTGCCCGCCGCTCACGGCTCGCCGGGGGCTTCTCCGGCCGCGTCCCCTCGCTGTTCCCCCCGCAATTCCCCCGTCCTCTTCAGGAAGCTCCTGATGAACCAGAGCATCCGCCTGCAGCGGCGCTTCACCGTGGCGCATCCCCTCTGGTAAGGGGGGGACGCTGGCGGGTCCCCGCGGGTGGGGGGCACCGGGATGGGGGCAGCGCCCCCCCAGAGTTGTGGCTTTGGTCCCACCGAGGAGGGGACAGCGGCTGTCCCCACATGAGCCGGACGCGGGGACGAGCACGGACACACTCCCGRTGGCCCCGGTGGGGACAGAGGGGGACACCGACCCTGCCCTCCGCACCCCAGAGCTTTGTGCGGTGTTTTTGGGGTGCGCTGTGGGGCTCAGCAAATCCCTCCTCAGCATTTATTTAGAGCAGCCCCCCCGCCCCGGCCGCGGACACCGCTCGGAGATAATTAACGCCGAAACGGGGAGGGGGTTAATTGGGCACCGGACTCGTGTCCCCCGGGCTGTCCCCCGCGGCGACAGCGAGGTCAGGGGTGGTGGCATGGGGCCGGGAACAGACGCGGGCATCACCCCGCGGGGCCGTCGGAGGGACAATGCGGCTTTGTGCTGCCGGTACCATCGGGGATGGGAAGGCGAGGCAGCAAAACAAGGGGCTGCGGGATGGCATGACGCGGTGCCGGCTGGCACTGCCACCGCCGGGGACACAGCCACAGCCAGCGGGGCTGCCGGAGCGGGACGATGCTGCCGGGGAGCCGCTGCCCGTCCCGGAGGCATTCGTGCATCGGGTACGTGCGGGGCTCCCGCGGGGACGCGCGCCCGGTGCGCGGGGGTGGCTCGGTCCCGGGGGTGGCTCGTCCCCGGGGATGGCTTGTCCCCGGGGGTGGCTCGGGCCCGGGGGTGGCTCGGTCCCCGTCCCCGGGGGTGGCTCGTCCCCGAGGGTGGCTCGTCCTCGTCCCCGAGGGTGGCTCGTCCTCGTCCCCGGGGGTGGCTCGTCCCCGGGGGTGGCTCGTCCCCGTCCCCGGGGGTGGCTCGTCCCCGGGGGTGGCTCGTCCCCGGGGGTGGCTCGTCCTCGTCCCCGTCCCCGCGGCGGTGGCGGCTGCGGGAGGGGACAGGCTCTGCGTGGCCCTGGCCGTGTCCCCGGTGCGTGCGGCCTTTCCCATGACCCCGGCAGTGCAGGGAGGAGGGTGAGGCGGCCGCGGCCAGCTCGGGGACACTGCGGGGTCGCCAYCCCTGTCCCCTGTCCCCTGGTGGGCGCACACGGCTGCCCGGTGGCTCCGCTTGGGGTGGCCCTGGGCTGCCGCCAGCGTCCCCGAGGGCCRGGGCTTGGCTTCTGCGCCGGTTTCTGTCCTTCGATGTCCCCTGGCTCCGTGCCGTGCCTGGGATATTGTCCCCTCCATGGGACACGGCACCCCGAGACGGGGCTGAGCGCGGCTTTGGGGCTTTGGAGGATTTGGGACCGCGCTGCTGGTGACAGGTAGGGCAGGGGACAGTCGGGAGCCAGCCCGTGCTGGGGTCTGTGGAGCGGGGAGCGCCGGGACAGCGGGTCCTGTCGCAGCCGGGTGACACGGGACAGGCTGGCTCTGTGGGACAGTGTCCCCAAGCCCAGCGTGTGCACCGTGAGCTGTGCCCGTTCTCAGCAGCGGGTGACAGAGCCAGCAGGGCCAGGCTGGCCAGTGGCAGTGCCACCGCAGGGTCACCGAGGCAGAGCGCGCTGTGCTGAGCGGGACAGCGGCACAGAGAACCCCGCAAACCCCCTGGRCTGAGGTCCCTGTGCCACCCCCTCTGTGCCAGCCGTGTCCCCTGTCCCCTCACAGCTTTGACCTGGAGAATGGCCCCCCCGGGCGGGGCGTGCTGGACCCCCAGGCCAGCCCGGGCGCGGGGCTGGTCCTGCAGGGCACCTTCAGCCACGGCCAGCGCCGCGAGTCCTTCCTCTACCGCTCCGACAGCGACTACGACCTGTCCCCAAAGGCCATGTCCCGCAACTCCTCCATCGCCAGCGACCTGTGAGTGCCCCCAGCCCARCCCCGGGACCCCCGCCCTGCCCTCCCCTCTCTCCCCTCCCTCACGCTCCCTGTGCTCCCGCAGGCACGGAGAAGACATGATCGTCACCCCGTTCGCCCAGGTAGGTGSCACCGCTGTGCCCTGCCCAGGAGGGGACACGGGCTGTGCCCAGCACCGTGCTGGGTGTCCCGGGGGGTCCCGCCCGACCCCAGCCCCCTGTCACCCCCCAGGTCCTGGCCAGCCTCCGCACCGTCCGCAGCAACCTGRCCCACCTCCAGGACCGCGCTGGCATCAAGTGAGTGGCCCGGGGGGTGGCATGGCGAGGGTGGCACCTGGCTGGGGACCCCGACCCGTGGCGAGGTGMGGGCACGGCCGCGGGGGTCCCCACTCTCAGCCCCCCGTGTGTCACAGGCGAGGATCGAGCAGCAGCCTGCCCTCGGGGAGCAAGGCCAGCCTCTCTGGTGAGTGCCGGGGCTCGGTGCTGGGGAGGTTTTGGGGCTCATTTTGTGTCCCCCGGGGGTGCAGCACCCCCCCCTCAAGGCACGGCAGAGCCGCGGCTTTGCCCTTTGGGATCCATGTCTGGTTTTCGGCAGCTCCTCCCGCCCGGCCGCCCTTCGCGGCGGTGGAAAAGCTCCCGTTGACGTCAAACCTTCCATTAATAAAAGCCCGGCGGTGAGCGGGGCCCCGCGGGAGCGCGGCTGCCCCCGGGGCTGGCTGTCACCCCRCGGCAGGGACAGCGTGGCACGCCGCGTGCCGGGGCCACCACGCCGCGGGGACAGCGAGCCCCGCCACCCGGGGATGCTCCACCCCGAGCCCCGCGTCCCCCCGCGCCCCCGGGGCCGGTGCTGGAGTGACCCCCGGGGCCCGCAGGGGCTGCAGCCACCCCGGGCCGGGTGGCCGCGCCACCGGAGTGTCCCTTGCCAAGCTGACCGCTGCCCCCAGCAGAAGATGCCCACCAGAAACTCTCGAGGGAGACCCTGGAGGAGCTGGACTGGTGCTTGGACCAGCTGGAGACGCTGCAGACCCGGCACTCGGTCAGCGAGATGGCCTCCAACAAGGTGAGGGACCCCGTCACGGTCACCCCGGCGGGCGTGGGGACCCCAAARCACCCCCAGAACGGGCAGCAGGGGGGTCCTGCCAGCCCCCACCCCCCTGACCGTGCCCACCGCCCACCGCCCGCAGTTCAAGCGGATGCTGAGCCGGGAGCTGACGCAGCTATCGGAGACCAGCCGCTCCGGGAACCAGGTGTCCGAGTACATCTCCAGCACCTTCCTGGGTGAGAYCCCCACCCTGGGGTCACCCCTGTGCCGCCAGCAGGGTGGGCTTTGTGTCCCCAGGGAGCTGGGGTGCGATGCCAGCGGAGGCTCAGGGAGGAATTGGGGGCACCAGGGGGGTTTCCCTTTGCTGGTGCATACTGGTGTATATTGGTGTGTMCTGGTGTGCCTGGGGCAGTGTCCAGGGGTCCCCTGGCACATGTGTGAGCTGTAAAGTGCCCCGAATTGTCACCCAGTGACCTGTGCCGTGTCACCAGCATAACCCGGGGGGACGCTGGCAGTGGGATTTGTGYCCCCACCCCGCTCACCCCCATCCCGTGTCACCCAGACAAGCAGCACGAGGTGGAGATCCCCTCGGCGCTGGCCAAGGACAAGGACAAGGAGCGGAGGAAGCGCCCCATGTCGCAGATCAGCGGCGTCCGCAAGCTCAAGCACAGCTCCAGCCTGGCCAGGGCCGGCATCCCCCGCTTCGGGGTGCGCACGGAGCACGAGGCGCTGCTGGCCAAGGTGGGGCTGRCACGGGTGACCCCTCCCCGCCCAGAGCGTCCCCGGGGATGGTCACCCACRGATCTGTGTCCCTCCTGTCCCCAGGAGCTGGAGGACACCAACAAGTGGGGGTTGGACATATTCAAAGTGGCCGAGTACTCGGGGAACCGCCCGCTGACCGTCATCATGTACAGCATCTTCCAGGTGAGCGCCCCGCCGGGGTGGCCCTGTCCCCGTGCCCCGATGGGGCCCTGTCCCCGTGCCCCGCCGGGGTGGCCCTGTCCCCGTGCCCCGATGGGGCCCTGTCCCCGTGCCCCGATGGGGACGTGCCACCCGCTCCCTCCCGCCCTCAGGAGCGGGACCTGATGAAGACTTTCCGCATCCCGGTGAACACCTTCATCACCTACATGCTGACGCTGGAGGATCACTACCACGCCGACGTGGCGTACCACAACAACCTGCACGCCGCCGATGTGGCACAGTCCACGCACGTCCTGCTCTCCACGCCCGCGCTCGAGGTGATTCCCGGTCACCTGAAGCCACCCGGGTGTGCCTGTGACACGTCCCCAATGCCTTTTTCCGCCGTTGTCAGGCTGTCTTCACGGATTTGGAGATCATGGCTGCCATCTTCGCCAGCGCCATCCACGATGTTGACCATCCCGGGGTGTCCAACCAGTTCCTCATCAACACCAGTGAGCTGCGGGGTGGGGAGGGAGCTGGGGGATGATGGGGCACCCCAGAAATCACCCCGGGGTGACCGGTGCCGCCTCGCAGACTCGGAGCTGGCGCTGATGTACAACGACGCCTCGGTGCTGGAGAATCACCACCTGGCCGTGGGCTTCAAGCTCCTGCAGGAGGAGAACTGYGACATCTTCCAGAACCTGAGCAGGAAGCAGCGGCAGACGCTCCGTAAAATGGTCATCGACATGGTACGGGGGGGCTGGGCCACGCTGGGGTGCGGGGCTGGCCTGGGGGGTCAGCCCGAGCCCCGTTTGCCCCTCACCCCACCCAGGTGCTGGCCACGGACATGTCCAAGCACATGAACCTGCTGGCGGACCTGAAAACCATGGTGGAGACCAAGAAGGTGACCAGTCTGGGGGTGCTGCTGCTGGACAACTACTCGGACCGGATCCAGGTGGGGGCACGGCTGGAAATCCCTCCCGGCACTGCGGGGATGTCCCGTTYGGTGCCACCACCCTCCTGACCCCACCTGGGGAGCCAAGCGAGATGCTGGCACGGCGTGGGTGGCCCCGGGGGACAGAGGACACGGCGTTTGTGCCCACAGGTCCTGCAGAACATGGTGCACTGCGCTGATCTCAGCAACCCCACAAAACCGCTGGAGCTGTACCGGCAGTGGACCGAGCGGATCATGGAGGAGTTCTTCCACCAGGGAGACCGCGAGCGGGAGAAGGGCATGGAGATCAGCCCCATGTGCGACAAGCACACGGCGTCCGTGGAGAAATCCCAGGTGTGGCGGCATCCCCGGGGCCGGGCTGGGGCTGTGGGGATGGGCAGGGGGCTCAGCTCTGCCTCCCTCCCTCCCTCCCTCCCTCCCTTCCTCCCCCAAGGTGGGATTCATCGACTTCATCGCGCACCCGCTGTGGGAGACCTGGGCCGATTTGGTGCACCCGGACGCGCAGGAGCTGCTGGACACGCTGGAGGACAACCGCGAGTGGTACCAGAGCATGATCCCGCGCAGCCCGTCCCCTCCGGCCCCGGCACCCGCCGTGTCCCCCGCCACCACCGACAAGTTCCAGTTCGAGCTGACGCTGGAGGAGGAAGAGGAGGAGGAGGAGGAAGAGGAGGGCGAGTCGGACACGGAGCCCGATGGCGCCGAAAGCCCCCTGGATGAGGACAACAGCGGCTCCAAGACGCCGGGCACGGATGACTCGGAGCCGGCCGACACCAAGCGCCTGTCCCCCGGCCCCGGGGACCGCGGCTCGCCCGTGACCCGTCCCGGGGACGTGGACAACCGGCGGGGGCTGCAGGGGACGCTGCCGGAGGATGGCGGYGGCTCCGTGCCGGGGCTGTGCCTGGACACGGAGGGCAATGTCACATTCCTGTCCCTGGGCACGTAGCGGCACCGGCCCSAGGGTCCCCTCGCTGCCAGGGGACAGCGGGGAGCACTGGCACTGTGGGGACACGGAGGAATCTGAGTTGTGTCCCCGAGCGGGAGCCGGGCAGGTCCTGACAGGCACAAGGACACTGCTGGCCGTCTCTCCGCTGCCACCCGCTGCTGGGAAAGGTCCCTGTCCCCTGCAGACAGGGCGTGGGGACACCGCGCTCCGGCCCCAGCCCTGCCCTGGGGACACCGCGCCCCGCAGGGCTCCAGGAAGGAGCATTCCCGCACCTTTCCAGGCGTTCCCTCGCAGGACAGAGCCCCAGGGCGGGGCAGAGGGTGCTGGGGACACCCCCAGCACGGGGCACCCCCTGGCACGGCGCACGGCACGGGCACCACGCAGCGCTTTATTTATTTGGGGATGGGTTCACTTTTTAAAGCCTTTTGTAGCTCACTTTTTACTACGAGCCTCTCCGAGGCTCCACACGCGATTTCGGGGCAGAAAGTTACATTTTCAGGGCGGAAAGTGGCACTTTCGGGGCGGAAAGTTAAATTTTCGGGGCAGAAAGTTACATTTTCAGGGCGGAAAGTGGCACTTTCGGGGCGGAAAGTTAAATTTTCAGGGCGGAAAGTTACATTTTCAGGGCGGAAAGTTACATTTTTTGTGGCAGAAAGCCGCGTTTCTACTCCGTGATCACTCAAAATACCATTTGTATCTCACATTTCGGACCCCGGCGGGTGCTGCCAGCCCCCTCCCATTTCCGGGGCAAAGTCCTTTGGGATTCTCCCTTCACCTTCCAGCGATTAAACCCGGTTTGTTCCACCCTAAACACGAGCCTTGCGAGCGCTTTTCCGTGTCACGGGAGCCGCGGGTGATGTCCCCAGGGAGCGGAGCGGTTGGTGGCCCCGCCGGGCACCGGGCAGAGCCTGGCTTTGCGCTGGAACAAAAGCCAGCTCCTCCCTGGAAACGCCGATCCGTGGCTGGCAAACACGACCCGCTAAGGTAAATATTTAATCGCCGGCTTGGCGCGGCGCGGAGCCCGCTCCCGGCCCTTCCGCATTGCTCCCTACGCTGATTTATCGCCACAAACACGTCCCCACCCGCGGCACTGCCCCGGCACGTGGGGCCCGCACCCCCTGGCAGCGCCGGGGAACTCGGGATGGGGATGGTTCTGCCCCAGCTTGGGTGTTTTTTTGGGGTTTGGTGGGGTGGAGGTGGCTCTGTGCCATCCCCGGTGGGTGCTGGGTGTCACCGAGGATGGACGGGCCGAGGCTGTGTGCGGCCAGAACGCCTCGAATCCCGGATCTGCCGGGCTGGAGAGGGCAGGAAYYGGTGGAAAAAGCCCTTTTGGCCCCGTTCCTGGCCAAGGGGCTGCAGCATGGGTAAGGTGATGGAAAATACCCACAGCAGC